ATCCAAGAGTATGTTAATAATCAAATTCCATTCTCTGGTTATCTCTTGTATATACAGCTAATTCTTAAGAAATAAATTTTAGTTTCAAAGTATTTGATTGTATTCTTCGTTCTATTGTTTAATTGAACCATATATGAGACCAATCCTCCCTTTAAACACATTGGGGATGGACCTATACATCAAAATGAAGAATGGAGTAAAAGGACAAGACACTTTTAGTAAACGATAAAGCAGAAAATTTAGCAAGTTTATGGCCACTGTAATTAGAAATATTCACAACTATTCAAATGACCCAAAACACCTATAGAGACTAGAAACTGTAAACGTGATGCTGACACATGTCTCAAAGGAGAATGCCAAAGATAATAAAACATGATACGAATGACTAAAATAGAAAACAGACAACACTACTGGCAACGAAATCAGACACTTTGAGTTGATTCATGACATAGATTTCTCCTATCTTATGGTCTATCCCAATCACCCACTGGGAGCGTGGATCAAGTACACAACAAAAAGAATCATAAAAGAAAAGACAATAACCATATTTACATAACTGGCTGATTAAAGCAAGTATGAGAATATAATAGACATTAGTAAGTGATATATAAGCGATGCCAACATAACCAACATCCTATACAAGCATATATATATATATATATATATATATATATATATATATATATATATATATATATATATATATATAACATTGGTAGACATGACCGGAAATGGGTAATCTATGAGAAAGAGAAAAAAAAGGATGAAAAGCAAAGTGACATTTAATGAGATGCACTAGAATCCAAAATCAATAAGGATGAATGAATACCTGAAGTATCTAATGAGGACAACCCTAAATGAGGCATGGATGTAGAATGTGGTGGACGAGGGTTACATGGCTGGAATAATGGTTGAAATGATCTATATGGTTTGTTATGTTGTTGCTTTTCCTTGTTGAGTAACAATAGGAATTAAGACTTCTAATGGTTCTTCTGATTGTAGTAAGCACATTCATCAAAAGCAACTTTGGGGGCCGATCTACCCTAATGATCCATATTAACAATAATCAAAACAAATGAAAACCACCAACGAATACAAACAAATATCGATAATAATCAAAAGAACCAAACTTCGAACAATAACCAAAACAAACAAACAACAATCTCCATATTTTTTTTCCTGGTGAACAATACCTAGTTTATGAACATAACCGAGTTGATGAACAGTACGGACGATGAAACGGGTTTCAATGAACAATGCTAATTTTTTCCTTTTGAACTTTCAACGACTAATAAAAGTTGATCTATAAAAATACTTTGAATAAGATAGAGCTCTGATACCATGTAAACTGATAACAAATATAAAGAAAAACTACTAGATTTTATTATTGAAAGAAAACTATAAATGCAAATAACGATAAATAAGACTATAATAAGAACGCTATTTGGAGACCGGTGTTAATCTAGCTAGATAAATAAACAAAAGGTCCAATATAAAATAAGTTCAAAATACTTTATATAGACAAGATAACATGGTTATTTCTAAATTCTAATGTTGGCTCTATTGTTAGTTAACATGATTATTTAAAATAAATAATTAGAAACATTGTTGATTTGTGTTGCCATTTTTTATAGTTTTTTTTTATAGGAAATAGAAAGTATTGTTGTTAGTTAAAATTATTGATTTAAATAAATAATTAGAAACATTGTCAATTTCTCAATTGCCAATTTTTTATAGGTTTTTATAGGAAATAGAAAGTATTGTTGTTGGTTAACATGATTATTTTAAAATAAATAATTAAAAACATTGTTGATTTGTCGATTGCCATTTTTTATAGGTTTTTATAGGAAATAGAAAGTATCAATAATTACACAATTATAAAAATATTTCAAGATCTAAGACTTCGTCGGGTTTAACTGTAAGAACTTTAAAATAGTTATTGAAGTTATGTTTAAGTCATACGATCCGACGCACCACTAGTATTTTTTTACTTTATCATTTTTTTCGTTGAAACCGAAAACAACATGGTTTTAGATTTTAGATTCACCACTAGACATAAGGACCTAAATGCATGCCATAAACTTTTTTCTCATATCATCTTAAAGATTTGTGGATTAAACATAAGAACTACTCCAAATACCTAAATCACTTTGAATTTAAGTTTTCGTGCCAACTAAAAGACTATTAGATAGAACTTTTTGACATATTGGGGCGATATAACAATTTTCTTTTTGATTGGGGTATCGTTCCAACTGTCATATACTTGATATTGGTTAGAAACCAATATACCGTTGCAATATCGCCATATTTCACTCTTCTATTCAACACATATTTATCCAATATCTATTAATTTTTTAACATATAACATTAGTCATCTAGAAGTATTTGGTGTTTCCTTAAGCACGTGACACATCACCGAAAACTATGGGCCGCCCGCGTCCCTTCTACTCTTCTACGCAAGTGCACACAACAATATGATGTTATGATGATGATGATTTCTTTTTCCCCAAGAATCACTAAATAACAGTTTATCCCCTCCAACTAAGCCTCTATATCTTCAACCCCAAACCCAAAATCACATAAATTACTAACAACATAAACTATCTTAACCCCTTAATTTCCCCTTTTATGTATACTAATTGTTTTCAAATGATACCAAGCTAAAAGAACCTAAAACAAGTTCTCTAATATCCTGGACCACACTTCATGTTAGTATATATATATATATATATATATATATATATAGATATATAGATATAGATATATATATATATATATATATATATATATATATATATATATATATATATGGGAAAGTGAATATCCCTTTAAGAATATATAAGCTTAGGTATACAAACTCACCATACTATACTACGTAGTGTTGTATCATATATAAATTATAATTGTCCAATGTTCTTATAATTTAACTTTTAACTTGATTTACTTCCAAGATTTTTATAAATTTCACATTTATCTTCCTCTTACATAATTTTTATTTTCAACTATAATATATATATATATATATATATATATATATATATATATATATATATATCCTAGTAGGTGTTCGGCAAAAAAGATGTGATGTAAGAGGAATATAATAGTGAAATTTCGAAAATCTTGAAAGTAAATCAAGTTAGGGGATGAAGTTTAAGAATATATTATAACGAATATATCAAACAAAACGGCGTATTATTGTGGATTTGAGTACCTAAGCTATCCTTAATGGTATATTCACTTTTCCATATATATATATATATATATATATATATATATATATATATATATATATATATATATATATATATATATATATATATATGGAAAAACATATTTTTAGACTACCGATATAAATGTGTGTTGAAGTAAACAAACATATTTATTAGCCTTATAAATCTTGATTTGTATTTTTAACGATTGAATTTTATTAAAAATGACAAAATAAAGAATCTAGTGAAAAATAGAACTACTACATCAAAATATTTAAAATTAGGGTTCGAATCCATAAGTTCCGATTAAACAAAATTTATGTTTCTTATTAGCCTTAGAAAAACACCTATGTCATCAAAATATTGTTATGTTTCGGTGTAGTCCGATCAAAAATACTTTTGTTCCGAAAGTTCCATAAGCACCACCAAGTGGTAGAGATAATCGCATCCAACATAGATCTCTAAGCTAACAACAATCGAACTAAGGACATAAGGCCTTCAAAATCACCAACCATGAAGAAAAAAAACAAGATCCATATCACGTCACTGCCCCAAATTCAACATAATTGCTTTCGCAACTCATACTCTAGAGTCAGATATGCATTGTTGTAATACCATACAAAACAATTTGTATGGCTTGTTTGATAGTTGCTGATCGAGTAAGATCTGATTGAGTTAGAGCTTGATTGGATCAGAAGCTCTGACTGCATCTGTCTCTGACTGAAATCATATTGTTTGATTACACATCTGACTAACTATGATGAATGCTGACAACGACAAATTCAACCTATTCTTAAAAAAAACTTGTAGAAAGGTATTCTATAAAGAGTATCATATTTGTAAATTTATATGATACATCATATGAACACCCATATCTATTTTGCATTCGAAATGTAATAATTGTATGAAAGTTTCACAGGCAAACAGACTTCATGTCTTAATATGCATAATAAGTAAGTGGGTGTGTAACACCCGTTTCAGGTATGAGTCAATTCAATTAAACTTCTGAATTTAATTTTTGGGTTGCAACGACGTGGTTGGGCTTCACCACGACGTGTCATTATTTTCTTGACCCTGAATTTAAATGACTCGCCACGACGTGGCAATGGATGCCACGACGTCACAGTCGATATTGGAGAAACCCTAATCCATGTGCTTTGGGCCCTATATAAAGGACATTATGGCTAGGGTTTCGTGATCTGTCAGCCTCCATCACCCTCTCAAGACCAAAAACCGTAACCATAGCCTCCCTTGTGTGATATTGAGCTTTTTTTTAGTGTTTGGTTGCATTTTGAAGGAATGAGAAGAAGGTGTTAGCCCAAAGATCAAGCAACAACTCCTCCCCATCCTTGGAATTACTCTCTGGACCATTTTTAAGTCCTCAAGCTTCCATTTTTATGATTCTTTGGTTGTAGATCTAGCTTTATTAGCTTATTTTGGTCCATAAGTGATGTTTGGTTGGTTTGATGTGATAAATGTTGCAACTTTATGATTCTTCTGACTTCCATGAGAATACATCTTGTAGATCTAGAATTTGGTTGAGATTTTTATCCTTACATTAGTTTTGGTCACATTTTTGCTTGTTTTGACCTAAAATGGAATCTAGACATGCATTGGTAATGTATGTATATAAAACACTCAACTTTATGCTAAACCCTTCTATAGTTGGTTGGACTAAGGACTTTGAGTAAATCCTAAAGGTTGGAACAAACAATATATAGCTTTTAAGGGGGTAAATCGTAAATTGAATCTATATACGGTTTATAAACACACACTGTCACTTTATCCATCACAAAATCCCTCTTTCACATCCAATACAGATCGAAATTCATCAAATCAAATCCATGGCTCGTCTTTTCTCACAAACCCTAATTAGAACAACATCATCAGCATCGAATTCCTTGCAAACAATCAAATTAAGCATATCGCAGCAGCATCGATTTGCGAGCCAATCTGGAAAATCTCAATTGATCGAGGTCGACCTTGAATCTGATAGCGATGTGGAGGTTTTAGGGTTGAGAAAGCTCGAGGATGCTATCCATAGTATCATCGTGAGACAATCGGCGCCTGATTGGCTTCCTTTCGTTCCTGGTTCATCTTACTGGGTCCCTCCTCGTCGTCACCGGCCTGATTCTCACGGCATCATTAGTGTGCTCAGAAAATTTAGCAAAACGTTGACGGATGAAGAATCAATGTCTATTTCTTCCTCTCGTGGTTGGCCATCCTCCGCTTATTTCATTGAAGGTATCAAGATCATGCTTTTACTTGATTTTATTGAATCAATTGAGATTATGCTAATTAGGCTTCTTGATTTGTTAGCAAAATTTGAGTCGTAAAACAGTTAACCATTTTTTTTTCTATAATGGAATTTGAGTCGGTTGTCCAACCGTTTTTGATTAAAACCGACTTTGATCAAACATTCTAAGGCAATGGAAACCGAAAGTTCTCATAAAACTAAGGAACATTACCAGAATTGGATCATATGATACAGATAGGTTAAATAAAACACAATCCGACTATAATATATAGTATAATTTCTTGGATTCATGTATCAATGTGGATACCCTCTGTATGTTTATTTAATTACTGTTATTGATTAAACCCTTAAGAAGGGACATAAAAAAACTTTGTTTGCTAGTATTAAATGGATATGACATTACAAAAGTTTAGGGAAGCTTGATTGTTGTCTAGATTACTGTATGAAATGAGGAAGAACAAATAAAAGGAATTGGATTCTACCCGTTTGGCGACCAAACATGCCATGGAATTGAATGGAATTATGCCATTTATGTACTTTTAGGCACATCCGTTATGCAACCATTGACTATGGAGATGGAAGCAGAAGTGGTTCATAGCAACGAGGAAAATATTCCTGATGCTGAGAATGAGGAAGGATGATGAATTCATCCCCACCATAAGCCCTGAGATCTTTCAAGTAAGTTTCTTCCATCAACTTTGCAACATAACACATGATACATAGTTATTAATTTTTTCATTGACCTTTTGTTGGACTACTCCACAGACTCGCTTCCTATTGTAGATATTTTTAGAAAAAGACTAAAATACCCTTGAAGAAGTGGAAGCAAACATGGTTGTACAGTTCAAGGCCTATGGATATCAGCGATTCGAGCTTTCTGTATGTTGTTATAACATTCTCGTATTCTCACCTTCTAAATAAAAATAATATCGTATTAGCATCATATGAAATGTTCTGTTTTTAAGTACATTGTCATTATGAGTTCATGTAGTTCACCCAAAAGTGATAGGGTCTGTTTGGTTTTGGTTGGACGGAATGGAATTGAATGGACCAAGTAATGGAATGGACGAGGTATTGGAATGAATCATTATCATTCATTTGTCATGTTTGGTTACTATGTTGAATGGAATGTGTCATTGATTCATGTCGTTTGGTATGTATGAATAAATGAATGAATAGAATGAAATTAACTCACAGTTACAAAAATACCCATGTAACACCGATACATATAAGGGAAATGGTCATTGTTCACAAGAAACTTTCTGCTATTTTTTTGATTTGGTCACTAATGATTTTTTTTGGTAATAAGTCCCTAAATTACCATTTTACCTGTTAAATAGGGGATTTATCCGGTTTGATTCTGGTTTCATCGGTTATACATGCTATACATGGCCTTTTCCATTTTTAAAATGAAAAATGAAAAGTTGTTTTTTTTTTTCTCTTAAATATTGAGTGCCTAAATTGAAACTAGTCAATCAAACCACCGTCTCCATCAATATCGCTCTTCTACAAACTCAGAAATCCACCACAACTCGGATTTTTTCTTGCGTCCTCCATTTCTATCTCTTTTTTGCTTTCCCTAACTTCACTATCTCATCTCACATGTTCTTTTCTTCGATTCCTCTGTGAACCATAGCCTGTGACATGTGAAGATAGGAGACACAATCAAGGCGGTGACAGGCAAGCGGAGACGATGGAATGTCGTCTCCCCGACGGTCTAATTTGCAGAAATTGATTTTGAATGCAGAAATTGATTTTGAATGTTTTACTATAGGTTTGTCAAACCTGGTTTGCTTATCTTGTTTAATTTCTTGTGGAGCTCTAGATGAATCGATTACCAAGTCAACAAAAAAAGATGATGAGTAGGGTTTTCTCATTATCGATGTTATCGATATATTTTTGGTTTTTGAGGATTTTACGATTGCACCTATCTCATCCATATCATATTACTCTGTTCTCTTTTTGATATTCATTTATTTGGTGTTTAGATTTTAATGGTGGGGATTTTTTATTTTTTCTCGGTTGGGGGAGGTGGAAGGTAGAAGATGGTGGTGGTGGTGGTGGTTCTGGTGGGAGGTGGCGGTAGAAACAACTAGAAGAGTGAATCCGTTTAAACAATAATCGGTGGTGTTTGGTATTGGGACAATGTTGTCGGAGAGAGCAACCGACGGAAAAGAAAATGAGCGTCGCCGGAGATAGAGCAGCCTGTGGAAGAGAAAAAGTGTGTTGTCGGGAGATAGAACAGCCGACGGAAGAGAAAAGGAGCGTCGCCGGAGATAGAGCAGCCTGTGGAGAGAAAAGGTATGTCGTCGGAGATAGAACAGCCGACGAAAGAGAAAAGGAGCGTCGCCGAAGATAGAGCAGCCGTCGGAAGAAAAAATGATACTACCTAATGCAAAATGTGATGTTGAGGCTCTATTAGATCAAATATAAACTGCGACGTCAACCTGTTAATGGCGAAATCGCCGATGGTGAAGTAGTCGACGTCGGGAATCGGGGAGTCCGACGATCTGTAAGCATCCAAAAATGTCGATCGGAGTGGATTGAAAGTATTTCGATGAAAGGCAAGAGGTGACAGTGGTTCGACGAAGCATATGAAAGGAAAAACAATTGGCTTGTAATGTTCCGGTTTCTATATTCTACCCTTGCATCGATCTCTCTCGATACTTCGTGCATCATCCCTCTTTGATCTGTGTTTTCCTCTAATTTCGATCCACACACACCCCGTCGTGTGTGTTCTTGTTGCTTCCCAGTCCAAAAACTCAAGCGAGTTCTTTAATAGGTTTCTTTTTAATTTAGAAAAATAAAGTAAGACATAAAAACATAAATCAATTAAGAAAAATGAAAAAGAAAAAGAAAAGCCATGTAGATTAAGTTTGATTTGTTTATTTTGAAAATTTTGGGAAAAGATCAAGGATAACAGGTGAAACTGGAATTAATCTAGAATATTTTTTATTTAATAGGTAAAATGGTATTTTAGGGACCTATTGTGTAAATAGATAAATGAATAAAGCAAATGACAAATATTTAATGTGGACATTTTTCCATACATATAATATACAAATTTTACAACGTTATTTAGTAAAATTTTATTTTTTCTATCATAATAAATTTCATAAATAACTACAATTAAGCGCATTAACAGAAATAGTTTATATAAAAATGAATATTTCTACAGTAAAACATTTTAATATTTTGTTTCATAAAAAACATATGAGTGCCAAGCACAATCGTCTAGTATGTTTTACCCACAAACAATCAGACCAATGACTTTTTTCATATTTGCATGAAGCTTTTAACGAATCTCCTGTTCATCTCTTGATTCAATTCTAAATAGACAACTTATGAAATAACTTTTAACGAAGCTCCTATTCATCTCTTGATTCCGATTCTAAAAAAAACGTTTGGGAGGAATCTCATTCCTCCTGCAATGAAATGTATATTTTAACTTATAAAGGGCCACCGACATGAAATCAATGAAAGTTATATTTTAACATATACAGTTGAAGGGAAAAATGAATAAATAAGAGAACAATCTGATATAACACCTGCTAATTGGTTTTTTTCCTAACAAAGTAAGAGGAAACCAAATTAGAAAATAGTGTCCCACATGATTCAAAAGATGTGCTATAAGTGATGTTTTGGGTTGAAGTATGGGTGGGCTATCACTTTTCTTATTCTAGAAACATCATAATTTACTTTGCATAAATTTTACATAATGATAATTACATCATGTGAAACTGTAGAACATAATATGAAAAACACTATTTATCTGCTAGGAAAATGGAAATAGGTTTATATAATTATCAATTTGTTGAGGTTAATGAAAATTTGAGAAGAAATCATGATACTATATATGTGTTGAATCAATTGATCCGTCTATTTAGTATTTATGCAATACTAATGACGCGATTAAATGGATTTTTTCTTTATAACTTAAATCACTATGAAAAGTTAACTTTATAAAGGTTAATATCTTTAAAGCTTATTTTTATATTTTGTTGATCAAATACACAACAATTAGTTAATCGATAGGTAGCGGACATTAATTACATCTCTATACAACTCTTAGATCTTTATGGTACTTTGGATAATAGCTAATGGCTAAAAATTAATGTTTAGTCTCGTTATTGTCCCGAGTTTAAGTCTATTCTGAATGTCGTCCAATTTGAAATATTTGAAATTTTGTTTATTTCCAATTTATGCAAAAAGTTCACCTTGGAGCGACAATATGGACCATATACAAATGTTGCATCTAAAAGTTAAAATTTAAATTTATTGTGTTTATTTTATATAATCATTATTTTACAAACTTTAAATGTTACGAATAAATTACATGCATACAAAATATTCATCAACATGTTAAAATAATTTTAAATTCTATAATCAATTTTAGATTTACAACTTTTCTAAATTAAGCCGTTTTATTAAAACTTAGTTATATGTTTTAATTTGTTTCACAAAACAAACAGTAATATTATAAGCATACAAACCATCAGCACATAGTTAATAAATAAAACACAAATATGTTGCCGAAGCTTGATTTTAGAAATTATTACATGAACCATTATCAAATAATTTTGGTCAATCTAAGGACGAAGGCTGTTGGACCTAGGTATCTAGCAGATGGACTGCTCCTTCTTCAGGTTGGGTTGATGGCACATTTGGACTAAGGGTATTGGGCCAAGTCAACTAATGCTTTGGGTTGCCAGCCCAAGTCGTTGTCTGATCCATCTTCGTTACAGTTTTAGTCTTGTCTTTTTTTTTTCTTATCTACAATTTTACTCTAAAAATATAAGAAAATAAAACCTAACTATACAAATATTAGGCTTAAAATCAGTCAACCAACACACATCAAATTTGGAAGGAAAAAAAAAAACATTCAACCATTCAACGACAATCCAAATTGGTCAATAATGTAAAAATTACATCAATCCATTAAAATGTTAAAATCCAACTTTTAACCTTAAATTATCTTGCTCATTACACAAGAACATGAAGAACAATGAACAAAGAACATGAAGAACAATGGACAAAGAATGATCAAGATAAGTTAATATATGTGAATGTTATGTTTAAAAATGGCAATATATTACTGTTGGGGTTTAATCAATTTATAAACAATTTAAAGAACCAATTATGCAGCAGAAAATATTGTTTTAAATCTTAACAACCCCAAAATCGAATCAATTAGACAAACAAAAATCAACAAAATGAATAATTATATGATGTTTAAGGGCATATCTTTTTATGTAGGGATCTTTTAGCGTAGGAGATAATAATCACGATTGATCATCACTACCCGTATCACGAGTATGTTCAAAACGTTTATAGACACTAACCGATCAAATTTGTAATTCATCATTGGTTTGCTTGAAACTATCAACTATTAGAAAAGGGAGAAGGGAGATGTACGTCGTTTCTAGGGTGGGAATGAGAGAGAATTATAGTTTCACTATATGACTTATTTCCATAAGGGACAATCTTGATATCTTTTTATATTTAAACTAATATGTGGACTATTTATAACCTTTGTAACTCCACCAGATTTAGTAACCTAGCTCATATATTTAATTATCATTAATTAATTATTTTGGATATAGCTAACCTCTATTTATTTATTTATTAAATAAAATATTTTATTTAATCCGTTTTGATTTTAACAGATAATAAATAAATTATTTATTTATTTATTCTACTTTGGACCTTTGGTAAATTGCTTTCATAAGAGTATCTCCAATGCAATTTGAAAAAAAAAAATAACACTTTTTGAATAAGTCATTTATAAGATTATAAGATTATTACCTAATAGCAAAAACAATTATAAACAAAAAAAAAATCCTATAAATTATTCTCAAAAGATAAAAAAAAAGTTTTATACAAATTTATATGAGTATGGATAAAAGTTTTTTTTATTGTTAACATATACAATAAATCTATATAAAGATTTATGTATTAGAAATGCTCTAAGACCTTCCACATCATATTTTTCAATTTAAATTATTTTTCAATTTAAATCGTAATGTCATTTGTCAATTTTTTGCAATAGTCTTTTAATACGTGAAAGCCTTGCATACTTAGTAAAGATTGCTTAGTGAAGCTCAAGATGCTTATAAGCTTCATCT